TCCAACCTGAGTGCTTCTGACTACAGCTTAAGCCTTCATTTCTTGTCTGGGCCACAGCTGACGGGGGGGGGGGGGACGACACACAATGTAAGGCTATGCTAACAGATGCACAGGAATACTGTGTTAACAACCTTGAAAATGTTTAGTCTAACCTAAGTCTGACCGCAGAAGCTCATAAAAATAAACTCCCTGTATCTTGCTTCTTCAACACCCGAAACATTTCCAAGGGAGACCCTTCCTTCCCTGAGCGACCTACAGAGTGATGATTATTTTAAAATTACACTCAAAATTAAACCCAGATGAAAATCATATGTAATGCACTTAAGAGGCCACAAGACTGGATGTCGATGAGGAAAGAAGAGTCCAATCGACTTCTGGACACAGAGCTGGACAAATGGACACTGGCGCAAGCCTACTCCCCAAAGGCTCTCCCTCCTGCATAATGCTGGGCCGGCACAATGGGCTTGAGCCACCGTCCTCTCCCTAAATCAACAGACATGGGCACACCTGGGTGGGAGAGGAGCATAAAAGTTCAACAGCCTTAAACGTGCCAAGGTCCCACAACAGCTATTGCAAGCTTCCCCTGTAGCAAGGAGCTCACTGTGCGTCAGTTCCTCCACGTGGGCAGTGCCCCAGCTTTTTGGAAGGCAGGCAAAGCTGCCTTCAGAGCAGGGGTCATTTCGTAGAAAAAGAGCTAGGGGAACTCATTAGCATAACTCATTAGCATATGCCACACCCCATGACATCACCGGAAGTGTGTCATAAGGCCACACACCCCGCCCCCAACAGTCCCGGCCGCCGGCCTTGCAGCTCCACTGCTGAGCCCCATGAGGGGCCCGGCGGTGGACCTGCAAGGCCGGCAGGAGTGCAAGGAAGCCCCGCAAAGGCCCTCCCTGGCCCCAGGCAGGCAGGGGTGGGGAGAGGCAGGGAGGAAGCAACCTACCCCCCCTCTTCTCCTGCCTCCTCCTGGCTGAATAAGGGCCGGAAGCGGGGCGGCCGGAAGCGGGGGGCGGGGCTTCGTCATGTGCCCCGCCCCCCTTCACCTCACCCGGGGAAACTGCGATCCCCCGCAATCCCCCCCGAAATGACCTCTGCTTCAGAGTATGTCCCACCACCCCCCGCCAGGGGATGCTGGAGTGCCTCATCACCCACCTCAAGGCAGCCTAGATTTTTCGATAATGGCCACTGCATCACTCACTGACCTTTCGTTCACCCTCCTGTCCCTAAAATTAACCATAATAAATTATTTGTTTTGGGGACCAGAAGGTGGATGAAGGGTTCAGTGGATGATAGGTAAAGGTAAAGGTTTCCCTCGCCCGAAAGCCAGTCGAATTCGACTCCAGGGATGCGGTGCTCGTCTCCGTTTCCAAGCCGAAGAGCAAGCACTGTCCGAAGATGTTTCCATGGTCATGTGGCTGGCATGACTAGACGCCAAGGTGCATGGAACGCTGTTACCTTCCCACCAAAGTGGTACCTATTTATCTAGTTGCAATTTCTTGCTTTCGAACTGCTAGGTTGGCAGGAGCTGGGACCAGAGACAGGAGCTGACTCCATCATGCGGCACTCAGTTCTCGAACTGCTGATCTACCGACCTTCCAGTCTGCAGTTCAGTGTCTTAACCACTACAGAAAATGAAAAATCTAGACCTCTTCTACGTGGATGAAGAGGTGTTCCTGTGCTCCCTGCCTTGGGTGCTGTCCCCAAATCCAAAGGATACAAAAATCACAGACTAAAAACTTTGTGCAAGTCTGAAGTCCAGCCAACTTTTTAAAAATACACCATCTCCTTCCACTCTCCATTTTATCTACGAAGTAAAAGCCCAAGTCCAGCTGCTTTAAAAGTGTAGAGATGCTCTCTATTTTGCTGAAACCGTGAAGGGTGGGCTTTCTGTCCACAGACACAGCTCCCAAACCCTCCTTGGAGTCACCCTTCCTTCTTGAAAATATGCTTTGCCCACCCTGTCCCCCATCCTTCCCAAGCCTCCATCCTTCCAGGCCACCTGGCTCAGCCCCACCTGGCACAGAAGGGAGAGAGCTACTGCCAGATCAAAGGGCTCCTGCCCCTGTATTCTCTACAGGAAGAAAGCAAACAAGGCAGCAGAAGCAGCAGCACGGCAACACCTCCCAAGGCACCAGAGCGACACCGCTATTCCCACAAGAGGCGCAAGAGATGCAAGGGGTGTGTGCGGTGAACAGCCAAGACATGCCCTTTTATGCACATAGCACAGTTCCGCACACGGCTTGGGCTCACCCCCCGTCATGTCTGAATTTCACAACTTCCCACCGGTCCGGAACCCTCTGCTCCTGTTGCTCAGCCACTGAATCAAGAGTTCATCGGAAAGAAGCAAAGCAAAGCTCGAGGGATCTTGCATCAGCACCAGATCATTTGGGAAGTCTAAGAAACACAAACACAGCCCCCCCCAAAAAAAAACCCATTACCATCCTCTACATCCCTTTTCTCCCGTAGCACATCACAGCTCTTCACTTCACTCCCCCAAACAGATTTCGAGCAAACTCTGAGAAGTACCATGAGCTCACAAGAAATACACCGCAAGAGGAGGAAGGCAGAGGAGATCTTTCCTACCTTGTCCCTTGGAGGAGAGTTTCACTTCCCATAGGCAGTCAGGCAAGAGGCCATTTTCAGACCAGGGGAAAGTGAAGACACACACCCAGCATCCCAAATATATGAAACTGTCATCACTGGTTAACAGAGTCATCAATTCCTTTTTCCTGAGTGCTGCCTAAGCAACAGGAGCCAAACTGGAAAGGAAGAACCCTCTAGCCTTGTCCTGGCTCCTAAGTTACTCTGAAATTCACCCACAACTTCTTCGAGGTGCTGCTGGAATAACTAACCTGCACCCCTCCCGGAGGCCTCTCTGCAGAATTCTGAACAGTTAATCCTTCAGTGCTTTCCGCTCCTATCTTGTACCTCAAAGCCTCTGGAGTCTGGAGAAGGAATGCCCATGAGCTAAGACTGCTAGACGAAGCAAAGCATTACTGAATCAGTGTGAAGCTTCCCTCTCGAATAAGAAAACATCTTCTCCTAGACCCCAGATCAGGGGATAATGACCTCAATGCCTTCCGTGGACTATGCTGAAAAAGACCCAACCCAAATCGATATTGAGAGCCCAGACCAGAAACTTCAGGGATCTGGTACCCGAAGCCTGCCTCACTGTCATAGTCCTGAAGATCCTGATCACAGCTTTGGGCCATAAGGACACCTGCTCAGGTACAAGAGGAAGGCTAAAAGCAATCAGAACTTGCAACTTCATTGCACCCCATGGGCACCTGCCGTCTCAACAGGTCCATTAGTTTGCAGCTGCTTGGCTCTGGACAGGAGTAGGATACTAGGAGCACATTATACCCCGAGCTAACCCTCTGTTCCCCATGGCCTTCAAGAAGTCCTCGATGCCCAATTAGTTTCTCAGGTCAACAGAAAGATGGCCTCTTGACGCTGCCACCTGGATTCAGACAGGATGGGGACAAAGATGCCTCCTTGACATCAACCCCTCCCCCCAATGTGCCACTCACTGCCCCCTTCAGCATCTTTCTGAAACAGTTGCCAAGACCTCTCTGTGCAGGCAGTCTTCAACCACTGAAGTTAAGCAGTGAGATCACAGGCATTTTTTGGTGTGTGCCCACGCTTGCCCAGGCACCGGAACATGTGTCCGCTTCCTCTTCCCGGGGAGGAGGTGTTGGATTCACCTTTCGTTGGCTCTGCCTCCTCTTGCTGGGTCCCCTCTTTTTGTCAGGACAAGCTCCCTGAAGCTCGCCGACAGCAACAGCTCGCGTCCATGGAGCTCCAGCCCAGATGCCCTCCTGGGACCATCAGCTCCCTTCTCCAGGGGGCGGCTTCACTCTAAAAGCATTGATTAGGGCTTAATTGCCAGCATGGTGTGATGTCACCAGCAGCCAATTAAGAGCTTATCACTCCCCCCCCCCCATACAAAGCTAAGCCAGACCCTCCCTGTTCCCCCAAGCCTGACTCCTGTGCAAGGATTGCCTTATTCCCCAAGCTCCCTCTGTGCCAAGGCACTCTCCAGCCCTTGTGCCAGGAGTCCCCACCTGCAGCTCTTGGGCATCTGCGGGACCCAGTCCCAGGCCGGAGCAGGTCTGACACCCTCTGCACCTTGGGGTGTGGGGTGCTGGAAAGAGCAGCCCCCCCCTCCCACCAGGGGCACGGCTACACAAAGGAAGCCTGGTTTGAAAGGAAGACAGCAGCTGGAAACCAAGCACATATCCCTTTTCAGGGGGCAGAGGAAGCCCCTGAGGAGGGAGGTCATGCCCTGCAACCCGACATGGGTTAGGGCTCAACTCACCCTCCTGTGCAGGCAGGCAGGCAGGTGGCAGGTCCTAGTCTTTTGGCACCGCCCGGATAAGAACAGGTTAATCCAGAAGGAGGGGGGGCGCCGAGGCGGCGATGCCACAAAGGGTTTCCCCAAGATGCCAAACCCGGAGGCAGGGTTGGACCGACGCGAGTGAGGGGGGACCGGCCGCAGCGAAGGGCAGCCGCCGCCCCCGCCCCCGCCAGAAGAAGACGACACGCTTCCGACCGGGGATCCAGGGTGGGCGGGTGCCGGCGACTGCCGCCTTCCATCTGCCCGTCTGGAAAGGTCGCCTCCGGGGTTTCCCCTCGAACCGATTAGCCGAAACAAAGGAGCCCGGCGGCCCCGGGGCTCCCCCGCGGACTCGACAGCTGGGCTCAGCCGGAGAGCGCGAACCGCCCAGATGCTCCTCGGCAGAAAGGGCAGCCGCCTGGGCGCAGACAATGCGCTTGTTTACCGCCCCTGCCTCCGTCCCCCCC